GGGACCCTGCAAGTATCACTGAAACATTCTGGATATTGGTAAAATATGGAAACAGTCTGTCTTTTTACCTGCAGTGAAGCCTCTGTCTTGACTCCCCCATGTGTTTCTTAACACGGCATGCTGAGAACAATTTGAAGATTTTTTTCTCCCTTGGAGATTCTCCGTGAGGAGATGCCAAGCAATTTGTTGACCATTTCTGAAGCATTTGAAAGCTTAACAAAATACCTGGGTGTTGTCTGTTAATTGTCCAGGACAATTTGTATGCACCAGTGAGCAAATTTTTCTTCATATAGCGTACATGCATGTCTATATTTACCTATTTCATACGTTCTTGCATTTTACTGTTTGTTAACTGCCCATTTTTACCACACAGGGATCTGGATTAAAATATTGTATCTATAAAACAAAACCATTAATATTCCCTATTTATACAGTGGTCTCTTCAAATGGATGACAACATGAAGAGGTGTTTAAACACTTTCTTATTGCATTATTAAAAGGCTTAAATGGAAAAAAGGAATGCAATGTGCATGTGAGGTGTCACTTCCTTGTTTACTGTTGTTATTGTTGCTGTCATTGCTATTGTCAGAGTTTTTTTTTTGACCTCCAGAACAGAAATGTTACCCTTGCTTCTCATTTCATAGTTAATTGCTGTCATTTGTCTGTTTAGGTTTTTTGCCTGTTTTATTTTCCATCATTATATTTCAATAGTCTATGTTTTTACATTATGTCTGATCCTCATTCCAAAACATCTTTCTCACCGTAATACATGTTCTGCTGTGCTTGACATAATGCTCTACCATATCAAAATATGCTTGTAACGTGTGATATTTTGTGTGTAATGTTTCCCTATGAATATATATTTACTGTGCTATAAATCTTTTTGCTACATTTTGTTATAGTAAACATTAGTAATGTATCCATTATGACTTTTTTTTGCCTATTTGTCCTATATAATATTATGTGTATATATATAAAATATGTATATAACTTTAAATTTATATATATATATAGCCTACTCTTTAATTAAAGGAGCCCTGATGGTGGAATGATCAAACACAAAGGTTGACTGAACCCACAAACCATTCCAGGGAGAAAGGACCTGGCCATCTGCACCCATAAAGATTACAGCCTAGTAGTCCTATGGGGGCGTTTCTACTCTGTCCTATAGGTCCTTATGAGTCATAATCATCTCGAAGGCATCCAACAAAACAAAAATTCTTTAATGGTATATATTTTGTTCCCTCCAAAAGAACATTGTCCGACTTTCTTGTTTAGGGTATGTCATCAGGAAAGACCAGTTTCTGTAGGAGGACATCATATTCGGTGAAGTAGATGGCCAAGGAGAATGAGAGAAGCCCTCCATGAGATGGACTGACAGTGGCTGCAACAATGGACTCAAACATACCAAGGATTGTGAGGGCAGCACAGGGCCAGGCAACGTTTTCTTCTGTTTTACGTAAGGTGGCCATGAGTTGGAGTCACTCAGTGGCAGGTAACAACAACAACAACCTTTTGTGATGAACTTTTTTCACTTCACATGATTCTATTGAAGTCCATCCATGCTGTTGTGTGCATCAATAATTTGTTCTTTTCTACTGCTGAATATTATTTGATGTCTGTATTTACTACAGTTTGATTATCCATTCACCCATAGAAGGGCATTTTGGGTTGTTGCTAGTTGTTAGCTATTATAAATAATGTTTCTGTGAACATATGTGTAAGGGTTTTCGCATGGACGGAAGTTTTCATTTCTCTGGGATAAATGTCTAAGTGTGGGTTGTTTTAATTTTGACAAAGTCCAGTATATCAATTTGTACTTTTTATCCATATATTTGCATGTACCAATAATTCAGTAGTTTTTATTATGGAGTGGTATTAACTTGCTTAGATATACCACAAGTTATTTATCCGTTCTCAAGTAGATGAACATATGGGTTGATTTCGGTTTTTGAATATTACAGATATAGTTGTTATGGACATTTGTATACACATCTTTATAAGGAAAAACGCTGTTATTTCTCTTGGGTAGATATGAGTAAAATGGCTAAATTTTATGATAATACTGTGTTCAGCTTTTTAAGACCTTAGCGCTTAAAACAAATTATTTTTTATAGTAGTTACTCCATTTTAATTTTCCACTCACAGTTTATGAATGTTCAGTTTCCTCCACATACTTACCAAACACCTGATATTCTAATAGATGTATAGAGTTATGTCATTAATGTTTTAACTTGAAATCCATTGATGAATAATGAACTGAACCTTTTTAATGTGTTTATTTGTTTGCTGTATGTATCCTTTGGATAAGTTATTGTTAGTTGATTGATCATTTTTGTGGACTGTTTCTTTTCTTTCTTTCTTTTTTTTTGAGTTTTGATATCTCTCTCTGTATATATTATGGAGCCCTAATGACACAGTTGTTAAATGGCTTGGCAGCTATCCAAATAGCTGGCAGTTCAAATCCACCAGCCACTCCTCGGAAACCCTTTGAGGCAGTTCTACTCTTTCCTATAGGATTGCTATGCGTCAAAATCTACTTGATGGCAACTGGCCGGAGGTGGAGGTGGTATATATTATGAACACAGGCCATTTATGAGATGTATTATTTTTGAAAATATTATCTTCCTGAATACAGTTTGTTTTTATACAAATGTCTTTTGAAGAACAGAAGCTATGATATTTCATGTGGTCAAACTTTTTATGGATTTTGCTTTTGGTGTTATAGCTATGAAATCCCCAAATATATATATAGAGTCAATGAAAGCCCGCTTAAAATCTAAACAGAGCTTTTTTTTTTTTTTAATGAACTAATAAGCTGAAAGTAAATTCACAAATAAATGCTAAGTTAACTTTTTAGTTCTGTAACTGTATTTTAGGCTCTATTATATTTTTTACATAAAAAATTATGTCATCTGTCCCTTCTTCTTTTCCAATCTAGATACTTTACATTTACTTAATTTTGTATTGCTTTATTGTGTTGCCGAGAACATCCAGTAAAATGTAGAATAGATTTGGTGAGAGTAGATTTACTTGTTTTGTTCCTGGTCTTACCGAGAATGTATTCAGTCTTTCAAACCATGTGTGATGGTAGCTGTAGGTTGTTCATGGGTGCCCTCTATCAGTTTGAGAAAGCTCCATTTTAATACTAATTTGTTCAAGGTTTTATCACAATTATTGGGATTTTTAAAATGTTTCTCAGCATCTACTGTTATGGCATTGTTTTCCATTTCTAATTTGTAATTATGGTGAAGGTCATTAATTAATTTCTTAATGTAAAACTAACCATACATTCCTGGGGCACACCTAATTAGGTGTACTATTGTCTTTACATAATCCCAGACTCAATTTCTCAATTTTTTCTTTAGATTTTTCAACATACATGCTCTGTTGTTTTCTTTTAATGCCTTCTTCCGCACTGGATATCACAGTAAAGCTATCCTCATATAGAAAATGCAAATATACGCTTCTCTTCAGTTTTGTGAGAGAGTTTGTGTAGAATTGGTTAATTCTTTTTTGCTAAACGTTTACTACAATTTCCCAATCAAGCCACTTGGACTGATTGGGAGTGGAGTGTGTTTTAAATTTAAATTTCCATTTTGATATCCTCTGTATAAATCATATTTTTCTCATGTGTTTTCTAGTCTTTACATACATGGAAATATATCATACTCCTACCTGTATGGTCCTAACCTAAAAGCCCAGATTCGATTGTTTTTAAAGACAACCTTAGCATATCTAAAATTTAACTTCTTTCTCATTACAAATTGTTTGAATATTAAAAGAACAAAAATAGGAAAATATGCATGGAAAATTAAGAGAGAATATGGAGTAACTATGTCTAGAAATCATAACAAATACATAAAATGCTATATATCACACCTAACTCACTAGAAACACAGCATAGTCCAAACCATGGGTTATCTCCTTTTGCTTCTTCCAAGGAGAATAATCAAAATGATGAATTCAAACAATAGATTCTGATCAAAATAAAGTGCACCCTCATATTAATTTGAGAAAATTCAGCTAAACAAAAACAAGGCAACAAACCTAACTCATCATACAATAGAACTCTTATGCAAGGATACATAAACAATTAGAAAATAACTTCTAAACAAGAGTAATTATTATTTCCTAGAGAGCTAAGGATAACAATCTATGAGATAAAAGCATACAATTAGGAAGCAATATCAATCCGGAAGAGAAAAAATGAAAAACCCTGGAAACTTCTATGGTTGACCTCAATAAATGTATCTTAACTGGTATATCCACTGATAGAAAATGGCCTGATTTAAACAAAACCAGATACCGAGCTGATCCTATTGAATATATTAACTTCATTTTGTTGCTGTTCATATTAATATTATATATGCTAATAATAAAAATAACAAAGTAAACAGACTTGAAGAGGTCAAACATGAAAGTAAAGTCACTGATGATGAAAGAGAGTGATTTTAAGGTTTAGAAAGCAGACATTTGAGCAAATTCAGATGACTGAGTACTTCAAATCAACCCACTACGCTGAGCTGTCTTCCAATCAGAATAAGCCATCCGAGGAAGAGTATGAGCAATAAAACAGAAGGTATGCGTGTGGGCATATACACACACATTCTACATTGTTTTTTTTTTCCTACTGGATGAGGAAAACATCAGATATTTAGAACTCTTCCTGTAACTACTACAGTTTCACTGTCCCACTCAACATACTCACTTTTCTTCTTTAATTTTTTTAAAATCACCCTCCAGTACATTCTAATATACTTTAAAATTTCTTAATTATTATGCTTATAATGCATCTCTCCTGCTCAAGGAAGTCAATTTTTTTTTTTTTTTTTTTTTTACTGTTTTATTTATTTATCTATTTACAGCTGTTAGTGGAGTGACTGGTAGAAGGCAATATAGAAATATGTGTTGAACCTGTGTTTTTGTGCTTGTTATCTGCTCTGGAAACACACAGAAAAAAGTTTAAAGCCCTTAGCATAATTTATATGAATCATATGTTATAGTGAACTTTGAGAAAATATATTGCATAATTGTCCTAAAGTCCTATGTAAGGCATATTTCACATCTTTAGTCCTCAAACTATAGATCAAGGGATTCAACATGGGGATAACCAGGATGTAAAATATGGAAGCCATTTTATCAGTGTCAAAGGAATGGCTGGAACTGGGCTGCAAGTACATAAAAATTAAAGTCCCATAGAACACTATCACTACTGTCAGGTGGGATCCACAGGTGGAGAAGGCCTTGTGCTTAACCTTAACAGAGTTCATCTTGAGAATGGCTGCAATTATGAGTATGTAAGAAACAAGAATTATTAGGAGGGATGAAATCAAATCAAAATATGCTAAGATGAGAATGATCCATTTGATTTCATGTATGTTTGAGCAGAGCAAAGATAACAAAGGGAGACTGTCACAGTAGAAATGCCTGATGACCTTGTAGCCACAGAAGGATGAATTAAAAATCTTTATGGTTACTAGAATGGAAATAAGTGTGCTGTAGACATAGGGAATCGCCACCAGCACCCAACACATCCTTTGTGACATAATGACAGTGTAGAGCAGAGGATTACGGATGGCCACATAGCGGTCATAAGACATTGCTGACAGAATAAAAATTTCACTAGTTATGAACATAATAAAGAAAACTAGCTGTGTAGCACAAAAATAATAAGAGATTGTATTTTCATCCACAACAAAATTTACCAACATTTTGGGTCCCACGGCCGTTGAATAACCAAGATCAGTGATAGCCAGGTGTCTGAGAAAAAAGTACATAGGAGTTTGTAGACTAGAGTCTATCTTGGTGAGGATGATCATGCCCAAGTTGCTCACCACTGAGATCATGTAGATGATGAGGAACAGTCCGAACAATGGAGCCTGCAGTTCAGGGCAGTCTGTGATTCCCAACAGAATGAATTCATTCAGCACTGTTAGGTTGTGTTTGTCCATGTAGGTCTATCAGGAAACGTATTCTGGACAGAGACATCAGCATCATCAATAGCTTTTATGGAGTATCATTTGGTGGATTTTTTAGTATACAAAATCAGTATGAATAATATAAATTCAAACTTTCCATTTTAGGGTATTTGAATACATACCCAACTCCCACAAAGTTTACACACGCATATACACATTAGATAGACTGATGGATCCACTGATAGATAGATGAAACAAAAATGAATAGTATGTTAAACCTTTAGGTGTTAGGTACATGGATATTTATTGTACTCTTCTTAAAACTTTTGTTTTTTTCATATACTTAAATAAATAAGTGGATACATTTTGGATCCTCTCCTTCAAAACATTATCTTATGATAATGGATAATTATAGATGGCCCAGAATGGAACAGTCAAATACTAGACAGGAGACAGGTTTTGGATAAATATATAATTGATCACAATGAGGATTATTTGTCTTTATACATGAAAACATCCCTAGAGATACATGTATGTATATGTGTATATATATATATGTGCGTGTATATATATATATATAAAACCTCTGCTATATATCCATTTGTAACATACACAATGTGATACTTTGGGCAAATAACATAAGTTATATGAATCTTTTTATCCCCATCAGAAAAATCATATTCCAACACTTTCTTGCAGGGTTGTTAGGAAGGATAAATGAGAATTTTATGCCTCAATGTGTCTAAGATACTTGAAAATAACTCTAAAATAGTATGTGCCTAGTACTCTTTGTCTGCCTATCTATCTGTCTGTCTGTCTATCTATATATCTATTTGCCTGTCCTTCTGTCTGTCTGTATGTCTATATATCTATCTATCATATAGCTATCTATCATCATCATCTATATTTTTTGGATGTTGACAGTAATTACTTGAAATTATTTTTTTTTGTTAATTGTTTTGATCTTTAAGCTACTTACAGGTAAATTTTTCTGGACTTTGACTTAAGTTCTTTGTCACCATTTTCATGATGAATAAGTTCTTTAAGATGCTATCTTTGTAACTGACCCCAGCCCCATATTCCATGACAACTGTTCTATGACTGAAGTGTCTAAAAGTGCCATTCTTTACTTTCTTTGTTGCTCTATTTAAAATACTTTCTCCTCCAATCTGGCATTTGTGTTGTAACTGATACATTCTAATCTTTTTTGGTAACAAATCGGATATATATTTTTTCTCGTGGAGAAACCTACGATATATGAGGAAATCTGAACAAAAACTGAAACACTGATGTCATAAACTTCCCCTTGTAAAAAATTATCCTCTACTTTTTATGAAAAAAGTTTAAAAAATCCGTATATGACACAATAGCATAGGAGAAAAAGAAAATATACTGATGATGACTTCTATGTGAATTCCTGGAAGTTATTTAAAATCTTTTTGAATATGAAACATGTTCCATTAAACATTGGAACTCCTATGTGACACGAGATATCACAGATAAATTTAAGTATAATCTTTAAAAAATGTATCTGACTATAGCACGAATATTTTAAAAATAAAGGGATAGCCGTACTGGTTAATATAACAGAACTGTAGGTTGAACGCTTTGTGATCATCACTGCTTCATAACTATGTATGTGTAACTATCTATCTTCTATCTATCTACATATCTGTTTATCTTTTGACATACATCTACTCTTGAATACTGAGAAGAGCAGTCTCTGAGTAAACTATTAGCAAACAAATTCAGAAATTAAATTTCACAGCATTAGATTATAAAAGTGAATACACGAAGTCCACATTTATCTCATATAAAACATATCAAAAAATACTGGTGGAAAGCAGACAGAATTAAATAAAAAATTCTTAATATTTTGTTTAGCTTTGCCATTGACTAAAAGTGGAGTCTTGATAATGTCACTAAAACATTCGAGATATTAGTAAAACATGGCACTACATAATAAACTCTACCTTTTTCCTGTAATTAATCCGTTTTGACACCCCGTATTCTTATCATGGCATAGTGGGAACAACTTATAGCTTTCTCTCTGCCTTTGAGCGTCTCCCTGAGGAGATACCAAGCAATGTGCTAATTATGTCTGAAGCACATGAAAGCTTAACCAAGCGTCTAGGATGTCTGTTAATTTTGTAAACAATTTGTATTAGCCAGGAAGTAAGTTTCTTTTAGATACATTTATTCATTTATTCTCAGTTAATTTTCAATATGTCCCACCCAGGGATCTGGATTAAAATATTTTGCCGTTAGGGCAGACCACTCAATATTCCCCCATTTCCGTAATGTTCTCAGATTAAATATAATTAATACACTTCATATATATGCTATGTCATTTATTTGTGTTTTTTTCTATATTTTCATTATTTTTTTTACTACAAGGACAGATATTAGCCACTCCAACTCCTCCTCTTATTGTAAATTGTCTGTTTAAGACTTCTTTCTCATTTTATTTTATTAGATTAAGATATTTTATTTTATTGGCATGACTCAAAAATATAAGAAACAGCTGCAAACATCCATTAATAATCAGAACATGGAATGTATGAAGTATGAATCTCGGAAATTGGAAATCGTAAAAAATGAAATGGAAAGCATAAAGATGGATATCCTAGGCCTTAGTGAGCTGAAATGGACTGGCATTGTCCATTCTGAATTGGGCAATCATATGGTATACTATGGCAGGAATGACAATTTGAAGAGGAATGTCACACCTGTCGTCAAAAAGAACATTTCAAGATCTATCCTGAAGTACAATGATGTCAGTGATAGGATAATATTCATATGCCTACAAGCAACACCAGTTAACGCTACTATTATTCAAACTTACACATCAAACACTTATACCAAAGATGAGAAAGCCTTACTAGTCATCAACCACAATATTGAAGGACTTATATCACGCACCAAATGGCTGCTATCTGTTTAAGAGATTAAGATTTCTATCTTAAATTAGAAAAATGTATAAACATGTATAATAAAATTTTTTCAGATTTATATTCCCTTCCATTATATCACCAGGACCAGACTTACCCCCAGGAGCCCCTAGACGGTGTAAATGGTAAATGGTTAAGTGCTGGGCTACTACGAAATAAGTTGGCCATTCAAATCCACCCAGAGGCATCTCAGTTGAAAGGCTTTGTGATCTATTTCTGAAAATTCATCCACCGAAAACCCAAAGGAGCACAGTTCTTCTCTGATACACATGGGGTTGTCATGAGTCAGAACTGACTCAAAGGTAACTGGATTAGTTTTACATTTTTTAGGATCAGACTTACTCCCACTAACAACTAGAAAATCACAAAAAAAAGAAAAATGTAGGAGACAAAAGTATTCAGACATTCTATAACAAGTAGAACAGGAGTTAGATTCCTAAGAGACAGGGAACAAAGAGCGTAAGTCTCATGATGTTCCTGGGTACCTGGACTGAGCCAGTTTCAGGACTTCAGGCACTTCTGGACTTCAGGGCACTCCAAGCAAACAAGAATGAGCTCTTTGAACCTAGGAGATACGTATTGGACTTTGGGGAGACGGTGGTAGCTGAAATTTGCCAGCGTATTGTACTACCTCGAGTCAAATTCTTTTGAGCTCACATTGTCCATTTTGGTTAATTTTTTGATTTTGTTAACACAGTCGCAAATGCCGTAGACCACATTCGTCTAAATTTATTTTGGATTCCTCTAATTGTTTATATGATAACTCTGTATATTATATGTATGCTACTTGTATGGCAATATTATTATACTCATTAACAATATAAATTAAAACTATCCCTAAATCGGTAATTTTATTAATAAAGGTGGTGGTAAGATTACAGATAAATAATTTTCTGTTTACTTCTCTTTTCCTATAGTAGTTTCCCAAGCTTGTCACTTTGATTCCTCAAACTGTTTCAAATTGTACCAAATTATGTTATCTTTCTACATTTCTGATGATGTTTCTGTTTTAATTCATTATTGGGTATTGTGTATATTTCTTAGCTCTGTCAGATATTATTTGATTCCTAAGGAAATGAAGAAAAATGCACTTTAGATGTGCTAAAGTTTGTACTTCTCTGTGTTGGTGGCACAAATGCCTGTGGAAACCAAGCCAAAATCAACAAATGGAATAAGAAATACTGCCAGCATTATGTTAAAAATTATCCACATGCTTGTTTTATAAGCCATCATATTTAACAGTTCACAAGGTTTTTTTTTTTAGAATAATTCATTCTATGTCAAGGCAAAGCAAGAAGTAAAAACTGTTTTTTCTCTGCTTTGTGTAAAGAATGGAACTTGATTGAGAATTTTATCTTGTAATTATACTCTTCATTTTAAGATTGTTTAAGATTAAAAAAGCATTAATTATAGGAAGATTTTTTTTGTTTGAAATGAACAAGAATTTGAAATAAAGCAAATATTTGTCCCCAATCTTAGTAGTAACTAAGAATAAAAATTAGTAGTGAGTAAGACGCAACAAAGGACTCAAACGTGCCAACAATCATGAAGATGGCGCAGGACAGGGGAACATATTTTTCTGTTATACAGAATATTGCTGTGAGTCGGAGGCAACTCAATAGCAACTAACAAAAACAAGAAAAAAATAAAATAATTGCAGAAGTGTATGTTACTTCAGAAGAATGCATATTAATTCAACAGAATTTAGTTCCCTATCTTTTTAAACATTCTCTACTAATGAATGGTACCATTTTCAACATAATGCTTTTTATATGATATGCAATGTTCAGCAAAAAAAAAACACAAAAAAACTCATACTCAACCTGTTAACATGATGTTCTTCATCTTTACTAATACAAAATTGTCCAAATTCATTAAAAATACGAGTTAGAATATGTGTAAATATTTTCTTCTGTCTCTGACAATAATTTTTTACCATAAAGTTCTCTATCAGTTATCACTTATAATAAATCTTGGGAAGGTAATGACATTAAATTTGAAATATCAAATGTGATCATTCATATAAATTTGAATAAATATAAAGGAAACAATCTACTTTCCTGTGCTTTGTAATTAGTCTTC